TGATTAGTAACTCGTGGATACTGAATATTATAAACATTACTATATTTTTTGAACCGTTCGTACAGTTCTAAGGCTAAAATATAATTTCTAAAACTTATACCGATAGTTAGTATTCTGAATCATACCTAAAACCTATATGTGTGTTTAAACTCAATGTTTTAACAAATCCCCTTTAAATATTTTGACACATACAAATTATGCCCCTGTGATCTTATTAATGTTAATAATTTTTTACCGTGCTTCGGATTTATAGATGATTTAAATAAAACTAATAATAATTTTACTTTACTTACTTAATCTAGTTTACACCATTACAGTGTTGTTCATGTAACTGATGATATAAATAGCGCCTAAATAACTGCTATAGCTGTCCTATCCCAGCCGGCCTTATGAGCCCTGGTATCAACAAAAGGCCTAGTCAGCACTGAATATGGTATGGTTGACATATTATTATTACGTATTCATTGTTTTCACTCATAAGTAAGTTCTTGAAATGTGAATTCGAAATGTGCCTTATTAAATCCTTCCAATATAATATATAAACCAACTTAATAACAATAAATGCAGACAAACGATTGTTTTCTACCTGTAGCATCAGGCGTTTAATTAAGCCAAACACCCCTGTTCATTGCGCGTAACCGGGGTTCAGTATTCTGGTTTCTCGCCCACGACACTTTCTGGTAATTGACTTTGAAGTTTTAGCGCTAGCTTTGCTGTTTCTAAAAGTAAAATTGAAAGGAAAATATATGCTTGTTAACTTTTGTAACCAGGTCTTTTATATAAAATGACATATCCATATATTTTGCTATCACTTTTAAAACAACAGGAAACTCGGCGCTAAAACCTAGCCCTCGTAACATTTTTATGTATCTTAGATAAACCATGGCAGGTTTTAATTAAGCTTATTTAACGTTAGCGCACAATTATGGTGTCTCACTCAAAAAAGTTCTGTAATTCGTGGAATTTATTTTTTACTTACGATAGTAAAGGGTTATTAATGCTATTTATACTCTAGGAATCACTGAACCGTCAATGTTAAATATTGTATAGATAAGCTGAAGACTGTTGACCCATTTATTTGTCAGACGTAGTTCGTTATAGGATATTACCACGTGACTAGTTTGTTTGGCAGTTCGTGACCCTATGTTTGGGTTTTGTGGTCGGAATCGGAACTGACGTAGTATGTACGTGACAAACAAAGTTAAATATGCTGTTAAGTTCAAAGTCCATTTGAACGTGTAAACCAGATTTGGTAAGTTAAACATGAGTTGATTGTTATCTCAAAGAAATGTTTGAAATATGACGCAGAAAACTATAAAAATACTTGAAATATATGAGAGAATTAGCAGTCTTGTGTTATCTGATTTATTTCACGTTATTCATTGTGAAAGTTTGTGTGACATTTGTTACATAGGAATTTGTAAAAACTCACAATCGAGGTTATGTATGTTTTGTATAGTTTTAGATACAGTTCAGATAATGTTCAGTGAGAATTTTACTTTTCAGAGATAATGTTCATAAGCTTACATTTGACTTTTGTAATGTTTTTTCAAAAGTATTTAAATAAGTGCCCTTGTAGGTTTATTTTATTTTTTTACTTATTAAACTTGGCTTGCTGAGTGGTTCTAAGTTCTCAGTAATGGATCTTTTTTTTAGGTTTGTTCCCTATGATTAGGGGACCTATTATGTCACACTCCATCTTAACTTTACAGAATATTTGGACCCTTATAAGAATATTTTTACAAGGGCTTAGTGTGATTGACACATACTTTGAGCTGGTTATTCAAACTATGAACAACTTTGATTTTTCTTTTATCTTTTAATGTCATTGCATTTCTGCATCTTTTTTTTTGTATCTTTGTAATATTTAAAAATTAACCAACAAATCCAGTTTTTATTATAAGGTACCAACATGGGTGAATGAAAAAAAGCAAAATTTTATTAATGGACTCCAATTAAGCTGGACTTTGTTACTAATGGAATATATTGACTAATTTTTCCTTTGCTCTTTCTTAAAGATATTAAATCTGTTGATATTTTTGTTATCAGTTACCAGTTCTATAAATATCCACTTGCAACAAATTACTGAAGTTTGCTAATGATGTTAAAATATTAAAATTCTTGGGTACTTTTATCTGTAATGAGGATGCTAAGGTATTATAGAATGACTTGAATCAAATGGTAAGTTGGACAAGTATTTGCCAAATGTTTTTTAATTATAGTAGGTGTAAGGTAGTGGATTTGGATCACATTTACTGTAGACAGGAGCCAAGTTAATAGAATCAGTGAAGAAAAACAAATCTTGGTAGAGTGGTGGATAAGCAATTGAAGCCATTACAGCAGTGCCCTTTTGTTAGTTATAAACCTAATTGAATTTTTAGTGTATTTATAGACATGTTGATTAAAAATGAAAAGAGAAAATTATCACCCTATACAAATCACCAGTTTGGCCCCACTTTGGAATATTGTGTACAGTTTTGTCTTTTTCTTGTAAGAAGGATATGGACTGTTTCTAAAGAGTTTAGTGGAGAGCTACTAAGATGACTTCAGGGATGGAAGAGTTATTTTAAGAGATGGTCTAAGATATGTTATTTTCTCTTAAGAAGGGTAAGAGTTGATCTTATTGAAGTTTACAAGATTATTCAGGGGACTGATGGGATAAAGGCCTCTGATTTCATTGTGCTACATTGGGAAAACAATTGATTGAGAGTACACAAGCTTAAGATTTCGATAAGTCAGGTTAGGCTCCAGATAAGATAATTTAATTTTTCTAACAGGGTGATTGACTTTGGAATGAATTGCTGTCAGCAGTAGTGGAGGCCAGGAGTTTGAGAGGGAAATCAGTAATTTTCTGAAAATTAAATGGTGGGGTTAAATATTGTTTTTCACACATGTGTATGTGTCTGTAATAAAGCCTTAGAGGACCAAAAGGTCCCTTGTTGTCCACAAGTTATTTTATGTTATTAAACATGTTTTCAATTTAATATTAGAACTTTCTTCTATTTAGACCTGAAATACAAACTATATAAATATTGCATCAGTAACAAACTATCTTCATCTGTCAGCCACACTCGCAACTCATAACTGCAAGTTATTCAAATAAATATTTACACAGCAGAACAATACATTTCAACATCCTAGTAAAGAAATAATGTAGTTGCTGTTCAATAAGAAATAAATTTAAATTTTTTGTGACTTAAAGTGCTATCATAACTAATTTCTATTTCATTACAACAACCCAAATAAACAATTAATGTTAACATTCCTTATTATACATGTTTTACATTAATATAATACCTTTATTTTGACCCATATAATAGTGATAGCTTATAACATGTCTGAAAGAATTATGAAGCTTATTTAACAGTCTTTGTAACATGGTCTTAAAAAATGTACAAACATACCTTGATATGTTTGCCAAAAACCTATGAAAAAGATCAGGACTTTCCTGTTACTTACTTTAAGAGTTACGTGTTTTTTGTAAATGTTAACTATGAAGACACCGTAAAATGTGATGAATATTGCATACTTTACATATGTATATATACTTATGTTCGTAGTATTTAATTTATATTAACTCTTGGTAAACATGTTAAATAATGTTGATATTGAAGCAACACAAATAATCATTCTACCACCCACCCCTCCCACCATTTTCTCATGGAGGGTTTCATATCTGAAAATATTTTTGGGTGTAATCGGTTTCATTCAGTTATTCAAAAAGTTAATATTTTATTTATTTTTTTATCAGTTACTAGGACTATAAATATCCATTTACAACTATTGTCTTTTAGATAATTCACCATACTTTTTTTCCCATCAAATTTCATTTGAAGGGCTATATTTTTTGTTGTAAAAGATATTTAATTATGAGTCCTATTTGACTTCAGATAGGACAGTATACACCAGTTAACACTGATTAGACTTACAAAAAATTGAATATAGACGTCTTAGGTTACCATAATGCCATCAAATACAAAAACTGGAAAGTTATTATTATTATTATTATTTTTGCATGTTTGTGTATATATACTGGGTGGGGCAAAAGCTGCTATACAGTTGGTATTGTATGGTTAAAACTAAAGAAATAAAATGTGAAGACAGTTGTAACCAATTTAATGATTGTTTGTTTCCGAGTAAGATGCTATGTTCTAAATGAAACAACTGTATAGTTACTTTAACTCCACTCTGTATATACAGTTATACATCTGATAATAAATAGAACAAGATAAGATAATACATTAATATGATATGCCACAGAAATCTTAAGGCTTTAATTCTGAATCCTCTTCAGTATTTCCACTTAATTGTAGAGAGGTTATATTAGTCAGTGGTATTTCAGGTAAAAATAAATGTACCTCACCTTCTCTTAGTTATCATACAACTTTCTTTTGCTTTCACTTCTTCTGCCACATTCAGTAAGCTGACTCTGTGTTATGTATCTTATGTATTCATACATATTCAGGCAAAATTATTTGTGTTTTGAACCCATTATTATATTTAATTTTCATGTCTGAATTTCCTTGTATGGAGATTCTTTCATGATCTGTGGTAATAATTTGCATATCCAATCACTGCCTCCGTCTATCCCCATGGACTACACAGGTTAAAAGCACTAAAAGTTTTGAGTTTGTAGTTGAGTTAATATGTGATGACTTACAAGTTCATAGGTAGCAGGGAAAATTGTTCTGAGAAATGAAAAATACATCTTTCATCCATGAACTTTTTGTTGTTTATGTTTGTATACTATTAAGCTGTTAGAAATGATGATAAAATATGATTTAATTTCATAATTCAGAAATGATGTTTGTATACAATTTATGTGAGCATACTAAGAGAGTAGTAAAAAAGGGTATGAACTAATGTGAGATACATCTGTAATGATGATTAGTTTTCATTAAAATATATATTGATTGCTTATTTGGTAGGTAATGAACAAAGCACAAAATAATTGATTGCATTGTTAATTTTTATTGATAACTTTTAACTTTCGTGTGTAGTGATGGAAGGGTCTTGGATTACACTAAACCTGTTGCTGTGCCTTTTGTTTCCATCTGTGCAATCACAAGGAGCTGAAGGATACTTTGAAGCAGAAGGCTATGCTCTGCTGTCCAATGTTATATATTTAGAAGGAAGGACTTCTTTTAGTTTTCGCTCGTGTTCCCCAGGAGAACTATTACATCAGACTGGGCTTACTGGGGACTTCTTGAATATTCAGTTGTTGAACAGTGGGGCAGTGCAACTACAATGGCATGTGGGACAGACTACAGATTCCATTTTTCTCAGCTCTAACACATTGGATAATAAGTGGCATGATGTAGATCTTATGAAAAATCAGGACTCTCTTACTTTTCATGTAGACCAAAATTTTGTTGTGGTTGCAAACAAAACATTCAGAAATTATATTTTTTCTATTAATCTTTCTGGGAATGAGCCTAGCTTATATATTGGTCGAAACTACACTGGATGTATCCTTCAAGGTCCTGGAGTTGTGCTGAGTAATCCGTCCATTCAGTCCATATCCGTAAATTGGGAAGGTTGTTCATTACCTGCTACTGGATCATGTGGTAAGTTCATTTACCAATTTTGCATACAAAATATACATATGTATTTGACTACTTTTTTATTATTAACATTAAATGTATTAAAAAAAACACTCAAATGCACAAAATTCCTTCAGTAAAACAAACTGGAAAAATGACTCTCAAATCCTCTAGATTTACAATTTGCACACACAGTGATTTTGATCAAAAATTTTAAAATCATCTCATCTGGATCATCAGATTATGAATTTTTTATTAAATAGTGTATCTACTTTAAATGAACTTCCAAAGTTAAATAAGAACACAACTTCAGCTATTTTCTAACATGCAAAAAAAAAACTAATATTGTAACATATTGCGTGCTATACCTATCCTGAAATTTTTAATTATTTTCATTCTTTTACTTTGAATATTAATTCCTCTTTATAAAATGTTGAAACTAATAAGTTTAGAAATCTTGTATCTTATATTTATCTTGTTTAATATAGCATGCTGAAGGTGCAATATGTATATTCCAAAATGTTCAAATATTAAATGTTTGTTGCCATCTCACAAGTGTCAAATGCTTATTGCTTTTGTCATTTTATTTAACAATTAAACTTCAATTCCTGTTTAATAAATCTGAGACTCTTTCCTTGATATGAATAAATGTGATAGTGTATTAAGTACAGTTGAAAATGTTGTTAAGTAAGGATATTAGTACTAGCTTAGCTTTAGATCTGTAATGTATGCAATTCATTGATTTTTTTTCAGGTATGATTGTTAAATATTCCAAAATAACTTCAAGCCATCACTCATCAATACAATAGGATTTTATCAATATTAGAGTTTAATTTTTTTTTCATATCTCCTGTGTATGAACCTGTCAATATAGACAAAGTAAAGGCATAAATTGAAGTGAATAACATGTATGTTGATGATCAGTTTTGGCTATTAGATATATTTATTGCTTATTTTTTGGAAGGTTATGAACCCTAAAAGATATGTATTTTGTAACAGGTATTTTAATTTTATTTTCATAAATGTAAGTCATTTTCACTTGAACTGATGAGTTTTGAAACATGACTCAATTTTGCACCTCTTGGTTGGTGATGTAAGGATGCTCTAATTTTGATTGTAAACAATTAGAGAAAAGATAACAATATTGTATTATTTATAACAATCTTTTAACAATAAAATGAGTAAAATAATTTCATGAATGAAAAGTAAATTGAATGTCTGTAAAATGTTATCTGTTAACATATGTTTATGAATCCTAGTGAGTTATTGAATATCAGAACTGTAGAACTTCATTTAGTAAATATTAAAAAGTTTAGTGACATTTTCTGACTGACAATGTGTTTTCCAACTAACTTTAGATAATCTATCATTTCTGAAAATGTCTAGGCACAGTGGGATTATTATTTGCAGATGAATTGTGTATTCTGTCTTGTGTATCAGGTTTGGTAACACTCTTAAATAGCATGCAGAAATTGTGTTAAAGTAGGATGATATATCAGGTATTCTTCTTCACTTTAGCAATAATTTCACTATAATTAAATTTTTTGTAAATAATATAGAAATAGCCTAAACATATTTTTCCCTTTTTGAACTAACCTGTTTTATGAAGAGTGGGCAAAATGATTTACATTCTTTTAGAGTTTAATCAGAATAAAGGTAAAAAAGATTGTGAAGTAGGCTAATTCTGTTAGTTGCAAAACCAGTGATGTTATGAAAATGTGTATTTGTACACACATGCATATTAATAAAGGTGTGCAATGAAGTAATCCTTTAGAATATGTAAAAGAACATTTTCAACTGATCAGTTTCCAAGATGGTTAAACTCAGTAGTAGTGCCCTTTTTGACTGATGAGTTGGTTATCTAATGGAAGTTAAACTTAACTGAGCTATGCATGCATTGTTCAGAGTAAACAATAAATTAATACCTTCATTGTGTAGTAACAAACAATACTTGTAGCTTGCTGGGTCACAAGATACATGGCTAACTTTTCACGTGTATGGTATTTATGCTACATTACTACAAATGTCTAGCATATGTAAAAAAAAAAAATAAAAAAGAAATTGCCATGAATTCATTTCAGAGTATAACAGAAAACATTGGACATATGAAGCTTGGATCTTATTTTATTGTTTTTTTATATTAAAGATATTTGAGTGTTCTATGTAACTGTTAAATATAAGGATTATAGTTTAATTCATGATAACTTCTAGATTGTGACAGATGTTTATAATTGCTGAACTTCTGAAAATACAGTTAATGATTTTTGGGTTAGCTATATATATATATATATTTTTTTTTTTTCATATGTTTTGTTTAGATGATAACTGGTGATTGATGTATTTAAGTGACTTCTAAATGGTAAGAAGAAAAAATGAACACTCGTTATATGATAATTTGGACAGGCAACATTTGGTAGTCAGAATTAAATTAGGAGGCATGTTAACCCTTTATAGACAGGTCATGGGTGAAAGGCCACGTCATTGCGTTTGTTGACTTGCATTCAAAATTTTATTGAACTATTATTTCATGAATTTATATCAATAAGTTTGGTATCAAACTGTAGATATAATTCAAATTTTAGTGTTATACATTACTCAATTTCTTAATTTAAAAAGTGAATATTAAAAAAAAAATACAGTTAAACATCATTTTTGTGTGTCATGTGGTATTTTGAATGCAGCACTGGTTCAAATT